GTCGTGTGTGTGTGTGTGTGTGTGTGTGTGTGTGTGTGTGTGTGTGTCTGTGTGTGTGTGTGCGCGCGCGCGTGTGTGTGTGACTGTATGTGCGTGCGTGCGTGTGCGCGCGTGTATGTGTACGCGCGTGATCGTGCGGCCGTGTGTACGTTCGTACGTGCGCGTGTGTGTGGCGTATGTATATGCGTGTATTTGTGTGCCCGTGTGCGTGCGTGGGTACGTGCGTGTGTGCGTGCGTGTGTGCGTGCATGTGTTTGTCTGTGTGTGTTAGTCTGTCTGACAGTGTCAGTATGTCTGTTTGTGCTGATGTATGCGGGTGCGCGCCTGTGTGCGTGTGTGCGTATGTACGTGTATGTACAAGCTGCCGCTCGGGTTGTTCATCTGATAACTGGGAAAACGTGTCGCGATGATGGCTATATGAAGCCAATGCCCCCGCGTGCTACATCCGTATGCACTCACGTACGCGGCTGGAACGTGGGAAGAGCAGAGAGAAGGAGAAGGAGAGAGAGAGAGAGAGAGAGAGAGAGAGAGAGAGAGAGAGACAGAGAGGAGAGGAGAGGAGAGAGAAGGAAATGTACCAGCGCACTGCAGACGCACTCGCTCACGCGCGCGCGCGCACACAGACGTAGATGTTATACTGTAGCTTCCCCGCCATCGTAAATCCATCGTAATCAATCATAATCCAACGCTCTGGCTCTTTCAAATATCCGGTTATCAACGCTAACACGAACGAATTAAATACGAATACATCTACGACTTCTGTTTTTCGCACTGACTATAGCACTCCGTCCCCCCGACACTTCGCCTGCAGGCATAATGTTAGCTCTAGTACTATAGCCCGCGTTCAGCAACTGACACAGTTACTGAACGCGGGCTATAGTACTAGAGCTAGCATAATGTTTACGTAATTACGTAAATACGGGGCACATTACAATCTACGACTGATGGCCAGGACGAGTAGTTGACAGCCAGGTAACGTGGTTTGTATTCCCGTTCAGTACAAGCCAACCATGAGCAATTACTGCGTATAATTACTGCGTGCAGTTGAATGAATTTATATTCGCGTTCAACTATAACTACCATGCATACATCTCACGCGAGCAAACACTTGAATATAGGTACAGACACATAATGAAGAGAGTTCTGTACTTTGCAAATGTCTGGCGCTTTAATAAGTGCACCGTACAACGAGTTTCACCTGCTAGTCCTTTCATACTGACATGTTTAGTAATTTTTTCTCGAGTTTAATATTAGTTTGATCAGGCCTGATTCATCTGCAGATCCATATCTGCAACATAACACCTGCCTGCAATTCATCATATACATGTTGATGCCCGCATATTATAATACCAGGAGTGATTCCGAGTGGTGAATAATGATTATTCACTCCTGATAATAGGTGATAACATCACCGAAACGTGTAAATTTCCACACAAACGTCAACACCAGCTATAATTCTACTGACAGTAACGGACGCACTCCCTCGCACACATGCACATACGCACGCGCGCACACACACACACACACACACACACACACACACACACACACACACACACTTGGCGATTTTTATCGACAGTACCGGCGATAAAAATCGACGGTACTGTCGATAAAAATCGCCACGTGTGCGCCAAGCTTTATGTGCGTTTAGAACCATCTATGGAACCATAGATGTTTACGCTATCCACAGATTGCGATAGGGTTAGATACAAACATTGTGTGTTTACAAACGTTGTATACAAATGTTGTATACAGATGTTGTTGTGTACAAACATGCGTTTGTATCATAAAAATAATATAGATAACTATATTATTTCTATGGTTATCTGTATTATTTCTATGGTTTGTATATATCTTTGCGCTAACTAAGTCTAACTAACAGACTAACATAGTCTGCCAACAACAATGGCTGCCGGCGTGTGTTTATACGCTGCGCGTGTTTAACAGCGAGGCTAGTTGGATTGTGTTTCGCTATGATTTTACACTCTGTACTGCATGGCGACACGACGCGTTAATTCACCCTAACGAATTTAATTAAACGGACTCGCGATGGGCGTAAATAAAACACAGCACACTGTACGACGCAACGATACATACCAAGGGATGCAAAATCTATTGTGTGACTAAGAAAGCGAACTCGACGCTTCACATGTTTGTACGGTTGTATCGATTATTGCATAAGTAAGATAATTACGTGAGTACATAAGAACTTATACGCACAACTGATAATTCAGAAAAAAAGAAAAAGTACACTGCTTGCACAGTGTGGAAAAGAAAGGGCGACTAGTCTGCCGTTCATATTCGTACACAAATTAAACTATATCTGCAAAATTAACAGATCTGCAATCTGTGTCCAAACCGCGAAATTTCCTGCATTTTCTGACCTTCGTATCTGGTATAATTCACTAAAACACATAATAAACTAATAACCCTTTCAGCATCACGCATCCTTTAGAACACTATTTTTCTCAATCGGGTGAAAATAATGACGCAAAATTACCTAGATAACGTTATCGAATTGTCTGTGGTAATATTAAACACGGAGATGTATGGACAGAATTGTTTGAGTGGCGTTGACTTGAGAAATAGAGGGTGCTGAGACGGAAACACTACATTTGTTTAACACCATATTGTTGTTTTAGGACAAATGTGAATGCATGATTATAAAAATGTGTAAGTATATACTATTATTTATGCACTTGCTATCATAATATACCCTAAAATTCTAGGGTGTAGTATCGCTTTAAGATGAGAATCGGTGTCACATACCTGCCATACGAGAACACGTCATTATACAGATTGGACTTCTTCTCCGGTGAGTTATTGTCGGACCTCTGCCTCTTCTTTGCGGACAACCTTCTCAACAAGGAATCCTCGCCTGAGAGAGGACACATCGCATGTATTAAGACGATAAATTAGGATATATTCTGATATGATGAGAAGTGTATAATATAGATTATCTAATTATATTATTCATCTATATTATACACTCCTGATATGATGCCACACATGAAACGACTATAGACTATTCGCATGATGGAGCATAACAATTATGCGACCACTCATTATCTACCGCTCATGTTGTTTGTTAGCACGCGACTTGCCAGCGAGGTATAACCCACCCACAATAAGAAATATCCCCCCGAAGAACTCTACTTCAAAATCGAAATTAAATATTATACTAAATATATACTATATATACTAAAATGAACCAATCGAAAATATTGGAATAAGAGATAATTTATAATCGGCTCGCGTCGGCGGTCGGCACGGGGACGAGCAAAGCGACATTGTGATTGCCGTCCACCGATCTCCCATAGATCTGTGTAATTCCTCTGTGCATTTACATTGTGATTGCATCAACCATCCCACCGATCTCCCATAG